AAATTTTAAAACTACCCAGGGACCTAAATAGGAACAACATTCAAGGAATGCGATGGATTCTGGTTTAGCTTTGCCTTATGCAACTCCCAAGCTATGACTACTCACTGTTGGTCCAATTTATTCCAACTCCTCATTTGAATTATTTGACACCTAGCTGCATTAGATATCTCGGTGTAGTCATATATGACGTCATTTCTGAATCACTGCTGGAAGTAGCTAATTTAGTGTGAGTTCTATTAGTCAGGACAGACAAGTGGTTGAGATTATAGCCCTAGATAATCTGCCTTCTTTTCTCATTGGTAGAAGTTTAGATAGTGCCAGCCTTCCTAGAGGAAAAAGTTGAGAACATATAGATACAGTACCAGTGCTCTAATAAAATCTTCTACACAAAAGGACATAATTGAATTGTTAATATGAAGAGGGCTAAGCTTTCAAGAAAGAAATCTAGCTGTCTGATGAATAAAAGATGCCATAATTTAGTTTAAAAAATAAATTTTAAAACTGGGCAGAGCTGGGTAGGGTGGTTCAGGCCTGTGATCCTAGCACTCGGGAAGCTGAGGTGGAAGGATCTCAGGGGGTTTGGGGTCAGCCTGTGCGACACAGCGAGACCCAGTCTAAAAAAAAAAAAAAGGGAAAACTAAACTTCAGATCTTTTCCTCACTTCCACCCCCAAACTGCTCAGGCTGCAGTCCTGTACCCCCAGTTGGCCCTCCCTTCAGTGGCACAGGCTGAGACCCAAAGTCCTTTTTGTTTTGTGTTCTCAGTTCTAGCAGACTGAATCCAGGAGTTCTCTACTGCTGAGCTACCTCTCCAGCCGCATTTTCTTTTCTTTTCTTTTTTTTTTTTTCCCGCATTTTATTTTCTTGACAATCTCATTAAATTACCTGGACAGGATTCTAACTCGCAATCCTCCTGCCTCAGCCTCCCTCAGTGCTGGCATTACAAGCCTGCACCCGCACACCTGGCTCTTGGAATCTCTTTTGGATGCTTCTCTTTTTTTCCCTCAGCCATCACGGACTTTTCCTGGGTAACCACAACACCCCTCAAGACCCTTTCTTCTAATCTCAACCCTCAACAGAATTCAGTGTCCCACAAGTCACTAGTGGCCCTACTAAAAAATGTCACAGATACACTCAGGGGGCTGAGACAGGAATATAACAAGTTCAAGTCATCTCTGGGCAATTTAGCAACACCCTGCATCAAGCTAAAAG